CAGGAACCCTCCCCTGCCCGGGCTCAGCCTTGGGTGGGAGGGGCAGGAATGCAGCTACAGAGGATGTAGGTGGGATACTGGGTAAGGAATTCTTCCCCCTGGGGGTGGGGCAGGCCCCTGGCACAGGTTGCCCAGACAAGCTGTGGCTAGATCCCTGGAAGTGTCCAAGGTTTCGAGCGACCTGGGATAGGGGAAGGTGTCTCTGTATTCTCCCTCGTGCCTGAGGTTGCAGCAGTGCTGAGCAGGTCTTTCCTGCTCTGGGCACCTCTCAGGGCCAGTGGGGATACAGTGCTGCTTCCCTGAACCTCATCCCCAGCCCAGCTGCCTCCCTGAAGGGCAGTTTGCAGCTCCTCTGCTGCTTCCTGACTTTGTAGGGAGTACCAGAGGTGAAACAACTGGGTTTTGCTGGTTTCCCTTGTGCTGAGCACCCTTTCCCTCATCGGCCTGTTGGGCTTGCTGAAGCAGCAGCCTGCCTGGGACCTCCAGGCACCAGTTCAAATAAAAACACAGTGATGGGAACTTCCAGGGGAGTAAGTTCATGGAATTGTCCAAACGCTGCTGAGCCCTACAGGGAAAAAAACCCTCTTCTAGCAATCAGTAACATAGTGTTAGAAATGAGGTTTGGGGTGTCTGAACTGCAGCCTGGGCTGTGAAACACAGTTCTGGTGCTGCCAGGAGGCTGTGCTGCTGCAGCTGGCACTCACCTGGCTCCCTCTGTGCTCCCCTGCCCTAGGACGGGCCCGGATTCTACACCACCCGGTGCCTGGGGCCGATGCTGTCAGAGGTGGTCCGAGTTCTGCAGGTGAGCGTCCTGTGGGCTGCTGAGTGCCCACCAAATAGTCGTGGCACTCTGTCTCTTCCTTGGGCAGGGCTGGGCCCAGCCTGGGTGTGGGCAGGAGGGGAGGTGGGTGACCAGCCCTGGGGCTCGGGTTGTGCCCAGCCCGCTCCTGGCTCCCATTCCCGGTCAAACCTCTGGTGGGGCCGCTCTCAGCGCGTGGCCCCGGCTTGGGGGGGAGAGAGAGCTCAGGACCTCCCTCACCCCGACATCCCGTGGCTTCCCCCTCTGTCCTGCAGGAGGGCATCGACCCGAAGAAAGTGGACGCCATCTCCACAGCCTTTGGGTTCCCGGTGGGAGCCGCCACGCTGATCGACGAGGTGGGCGTGGACGTGGCCACGCACGTGGCCGAGGACCTGGGCAAGGCCTTCGGGGAGCGCTTCGGGGGAGGCAGCATCGAACTCTTCAAGCTCATGGTGCAGAAGGGCTTCTTGGGTGAGGTGCTAAGCTGTCTGCAGCTGAAGGGTTTCCCCTTGGCCCCAGGGAAAGCACCGGCGTCCACCAGCCTGTGCTGCCTCAGTGGGAGAACAGCCCTGGGAGTGGGGGGGGAGTCCCTCCCGCAGAAATGGCATTAGGGAAGGCATTAGGGCCTGGCACAGTGGCAGCATCTTGCCAAAGGGTCGGGTGGAGGTGGGTCCCTTCCCCCTGGCCCTGCTCAGAAGCGCCGGGTGCCGGAGGATGTGCCGTGGGAGCAGGAAGCGGAGCCGCGAGGAGATCACAGGCCAGGGTGTCGGGAGGGAGCAGGACACATGGCAGGATGTGACCTGGCTCCTTTCATCCCCCGGCAGGTCGCAAGGCAGGGAAAGGCTTTTATGTTTACCAGGAGGGAGTGAAGAACAGGAGTGTGAATTCCGGCATGGATGAGATCCTGGCACGGTTCAAGGTGCCGGCGAATCCTGACGTGTGAGTACGGGGTGAGACCAAGCTGGGGGTGGATCAGAGCCTGCCCAGCTCCTGCTGCCTCTGAGCAGCAGCACGAGGGGCATCAGGTGGTGCTCAAGGTCATGATCCTCCCAGGGCTGGAGCCCCTCTGCTCTGGAGCCAGGCTGGGACAGCTGGGGGGGCTCACCTGGAGAAGGGAAGGATCCAGGGAGAGCTCAGAGCCCCTTCCAGAGCCTGCAGGGGCTCCAGGAGAGCTGCAGAGGGACTGGGGACAAGGCATGGAGGGACAGGACACAGGGAATGGCTTCCCACTGCCAGAGGGCAGGGACAGATGGGAGATTGGGAAGGAATTGTTGGCTGTGAGGGTGGGCAGGCCCTGGCACAGGTTGGGCAGAGAAGCTGTGGCTGCCCCTGGATCCCTGGAAGTGTCCAAGGCCAGGCTGGACGGGGCTTGGAGCACCCTGGGCTGGTGGGAGATGTCCCTGCCCATGGCAGGGGGGGAGGAATGGGATGATCTTTAAAGTCCCTTCCACCCAAGCCAGGCTGGGATTCCATGACATTTCCCAACACGGAGCCCGATCAAGCCTTTGCCTTTATTCCAAATCCATCTCCACACAATCCTGGGTGATGTGCTCCAGGGGGCCCACCCTGATCAGGGGGCTCGGAGTGGACAAGCTCCAGCGGTCCCTCCCATCCTCAGCCATTCTGCACTTCTTAACGTGCCCTCTTCAGGACAAGTCCCAGAACATATTCCTGCCCCTTGTGAGGGCAGGGACACTCCCAGGGAGACCATTCCATCCCCCTGAGCTGTTCTGGGTGCTGTGCCCTCACGTGCTGTCCCCGCAGCTGCTCGGACGAGGACATCCAGCTGCGCCTGGTGACGCGCTTCGTGAACGAGGCGGCGCTGTGCCTGCAGGAGGGGATCCTCAGCACCCCCGTGGAGGGGGACATCGGCGCCGTCTTCGGCCTGGGCTTCCCGCCCTGCCTGGGAGGTGAGAGCCGGGGGCTGGGCTGCAGTTAGGGACGGGTTTGAGCTGCAGCAGCCTGGGGAAACAGCTTCAGTTTGCACCAGGAGGGGTTTAGGTTGGACACTGGGGGCAAGGTCCTCCTGGAGAGGGCTGTCCAGCCCTGGCACAGCTGCCCAGGGCAGGGGTGGAGTCCCCAACCCTGGAGGGATTCAAAAGCCGTATCGATGTGGCACTTGGGGACACGGGTCAGTGGTGGCCTTGGCAGTGCTGGGGAATAGTTGAACTCAGTGTCTTCGAGGGCTTTTCCAACCTAAATAATTCAATGACTCTGCCTCCTGCCCTGCCACTTGCCTGGGTGGGCAGGGGTTCTGTTGGAGCCCAAGGACCCACCTTCACCCGCTGCCCTCAGACACAGCAGAGCTGAAAACCTCAGCCACCTTCTCCAGCCAAGGGACCTGCTGGGCCCAGCCAGGACCACGGACAGAGTTCCCTGGGACCCACCCGTGACCTGGCTGGGTGGCCATGGCTGTGCACGAGGCACGAGCTGCGGGTTGGGTCACAGCTGGTCACACCACGGGCTCTTGGGCATGAGGTGGTGCTTCTGCCACGTGCCCGGTGCTTTCCCTCCTTGGGCCAAGCTCAGACTGGGGAGCAGCCCCAGGGGACTTCCTGCAGGAGCACGGAGTGACAGGACAAGGGGGAACGGGTTCAGACTTGCAGAGAGGAGGGTTAGATGGGATATTGGGAAGGGATTGCTGACTGGGAGGGTGGGCAGGCCCTGGCACAGGTTGGGCAGAGAAGCTGCTCCTGGATCCCTGGAAGAGTCCCAGGCCAGGTTGAACGGGGCTTGGAGCAACCTGGGCTGGTGGGAGGTGTCCCTGCCCATGGCAGGGGGTTGGAATGAGAGGAGCTCTAAGGTCCCTTTGCAGAACCATTCCACGACTCCGTGATGATCCATGGAATCCCACCTTGTGCCCAGCACTCGGGGTCAACCTCTGCCCGGTGCAGGGTGGGGGGGCAGCGAGCAGGGTCCTGGGCCACCCCGATGAGAGGCTGGGGAGTCCCTGGTGTAGAATGGTGGGCTGGCCAGATGCGGTGCTGCCAGCCCTGCGGGCCCCTCGGTGCCTGTCCCCACGTGCCACCGCCGTGTCCCCGTGCCCGCAGGTCCCTTCAGGTTCGCCGACTCCTATGGAGCCCGGCAGCTGGTGGACAAGCTGCGCAAGTACGAGGCCGTCTACGGCAGCCAGTTCACGCCCTGCCAGCTGCTGCTGGACCACGCCAACAGCCCCAGCAAGAAGTTCCACCAGTGAGGGACCCGGTGACGCACCCACAGCTCCCCACTGTCCGTAGGTTAATCTCCAAAGCACCTGGGGGAGGAGAAGGGAGGGGGGCACCGGGCTGCCTCGTGGCTTGCAAGTCATTTCAAGTGCCTTATCAGCCACTGTGTGTTGGGCACCTCCGTCCCAGGCCAGCCTCTCCGTGCTGGAGAGGGGATTTCTGCTGCCTCTGCCTCCGTGCTGCGGCCTCCAGAGCTCCCAATCTGGCCAGTAGCATCCAGCACATGGCTGGAGCCGAGGCCTTGCCTTTCCATGAACATCTACCAAAATAAAGCCCCGTCTCCCGGGTTTGGACTCCGTGCCTGCTTCTCCTCCCCTCTCCCTGGGCAGCACCGAGGGAGAGGAGTCGGGAATGACGCGTCCAGGTGGTGCCCTGGGGTCCCCTCCCGTGGAGGGGCTGTGGGGAGGGGCAGGATGGCAGCTCTGTCACCTCTGCCATCACTCAGGGGCTGTGAGGAGCCCCTGTCTCTGTCTGGCCCTGGGTGCTGTCACGGGTGATGCCGGCGGGCGATCCTGGCAGATGGACCCGCCCGTAATTGCAGATCAAGCAGCCAAAGGCCAGAAGGGTCCCCCGTGGGGAGAGCTCAAGTTAAACTAAAAGGCTGTAAATCTCCAGGCACCTGTCACTGGCCTGGCCCCCCATCCCTGGCTTCCTCTCCAGCTTCCAGCCGTTCTCCTGCGCCCTGGCAGGGCTGGGCCCCGGAGATGCTGCTCCTCGTGCCCCTCTCTGCTTGTTTCTCAGAGCTGCAGGGCAAAACAGCTCCAAGAGAAACATCTTTCCCTTGAAGGGAGAAAAGTTCCTTCCCGAGAGGTGGGAAGGGTCTGCAAGGACAGCAGAGACCCCCCCAGAGCCTCCCTCCCCACCTGTTCCCCCTTTCCCCGAGCAAGGGGCTCCTCCTGCAGCTCGTTACTCTCCCGTACGTTTATTGTGCTAATCCACAAGGATTAAGTTAAACCAGTCGACGCAAAATCCAGTGTTTTCCAGCCCCAGCTGGGGCCAAAATTACTGTCCAGTGTTAAGATGGGAAGGGGGGAGGGCTGGGCAATGGGGCTGCCGGGGGGGAGGAGAAGCCCCAGCGCTGCCCCGTTGGAGCAGGGACGGGAAGGGGGCGAGGTCCAGGTGCCGTGGGGACCTCCCCGGGGGCAGGGGGGTCCCCAGCGTGGGGTTAGATCTTGGGGCGCCAGCCCTTGATGAACTGCATGATCTTCTTCACCTGGAGCTTGGTGAGGCGGAAGTCGTCGGCCAGGATCTCCTCGCTGAGCTGCACGAAGATGCTGCCGTCGATGCGCTCGCGGGCGAAGAAGCTCACGACGTCCTCGGAGAGGCCGATGAAGCGCAGGCACTTGGACACCTCCTCCAGCGACAGGGCCGACAGGTCGGCGGGGGGCAGCCAGGCCGCGCTGTCCCCGCCGGGCCGGGGGGCGGCCGGAGGAGCTCCCCCGTCCCCCCGCGCCGCGGGCGGCACCTCGATGACACCCTGGGCCAGGTACAGGCGGGCCACGCCCTCGGCCCCGCGCAGGACGGCGGGGGACAGCGGGGACGCCCCCCGGATGACGATGCCGTCCCCATCCAAACCCTTGGGGGGCCGGGGGGGCGCCGCCGGCTCCTCGAGGGGGGCGAAGGGCTCCGGCGAGGAGGAGGAGGAGGGTGGGGGGGCGGCCGGGGCCGAAGGTGCTTTGGACCACTCGGGGCTCTCCGGCCACTCGGCCGCGCCGGCGAAGGGGTTGAGGGCCCCGAAGGGGGCAAAGCGCTTCTGCGGGTGCGGGGGCTTGAGGCGGGGGCAGCTGCGGAAGGGCTTCAGGGGGGGCTCAGCCCCCGGCAGCGGCGTCGAGGAGCCGCTGCCCACCCCGGCGCCCGGCTCGGCGTACGCCCAGGGGTCGGACCAGGAGCCGGGCGGAGGCTGAGCCGAGGCGGGGGGCAGCGGCCGCCCGGGGGGCTCCCCGGCCTTGCAGTCGCCCCAAGTGCAGGGGTAGCAGTACAGGGAGTAGGCGTCGGGCGAGGGGGAACCGCTGCCGCTCCGCGGGGCCGACCTGCCGGGCAGGGGGAGCGTCACCATCACCCCGTCCCCCGCGGGGACCCGCCACCCCCGGCCCTCAACCCCATCCCCACCCCGGCACCGCGGCGTCCCCGGAGCCACTCACCCGTCGTGGAGCCCCGAGGAGTAGTAGGAGAGGCTGGGGCTGGGCGAGGGCGCCAGCTTCGGGCAGCGCAGGGGGGCCGGGGGGCTGCAGGGGCCCGGGGCGCGGCTGCCCCGGGGCGGCACGGGGGGCGCGTTCAGCAGCCGGCACTCCTCCTTCACCTGGAAACGGGGGCGAGCGCCGTCAGACCCCCAGGCACCAGGGCCGGGGGACCCCGCGGCTGGAGGGCGATGGTCGAGCCGTGAAGCTCTGGGTGCCAGCGGGGACACCTGGGACCCGTGCACTGCCTGGCCAGGGAAGCCCCCCCAAAATTTGGGTACTCCGTGGTGAAGGGGAGCCTGAAATTACGAGTACTCTGTTGTGCAGGGAAGACCAGAGGATTTGCGTGCCCTGCGGTGTTAGGAAGCCCCAGAGCTTCGGGTACCCCCGTGGTGCAGAGCCCTGGGGGACGGGGGACCGAAGAGGATTTGGGTGTCCAAGCAGAGCTGGGGAGGGACCCCCGGGCCAGGGGACGGGGCTCTGGGGAGGGGGTCGGGCTGGCCTTGCCGTGGGACTGGTTGTGCCACGGGGATCACCGTGCGGTGAGAGGGGCTGAGAGACCCCTGGGGGTGTCATTCCCCAGCCCCGGGGGACAGCACCGCGGCTCTTACCGCCTCCGATTTGGGTGGCACCGGGGGCGGGGTGTCCTCCCGGGGCTCGTCCCCGGGGCGGTGCGCGGAGCCCGGCGCGGGGACGGCCCCGAAGGACACCAGGTCGGGCCGGCCGCCGGTGCCGCCCGGCTCGCAGCAGCCCTCCGGGCCGGCATTGCTCCAGAGCTCCTCGTAGGGAATCTCCAGCGGCTCCTGAGTCCTGAACTCGGGCTCGGCCCAGTCGGGCGTCATGTACTCGCGGTCGGGGTCGGGGAAGTCGGGCAGCGGCGGGCGGGGGGCGGCCCCGCCGAGGCCCCGCGGTCCGTGGCAGCGGGCGGGGGGCTCCCGGGGGGGCTCCCGGGAGCCGCAGGCACAGAGGGAGAGGCGCTGGAGGGGCTGGCTGAGCTCGTCGCGGGCGCAGGCGGGCAGGCAGAGCCGCAGCCGCCGCGGGCTGGCGCATTCCTCCAGCAAGTCCGGCTTGGCCTCCCGCACGGCCCGCGAGTACTCGTCGGGGTTGAAGCGGTCGTGGCAATACGCGGCGCTGTCCCGCAGCAGCTTCTCCAGCTGCGGGTCCCCGGCCAGCAGCCCCTCGGGCAGCTGGAAGCGGGGCATGTCGGTCAGCAGGAGGAAGTGGAAAGGCACCAGCTCGTCCCGCCGCAGGATGCAGCACAGCACCACCGTCTTGGAGATGATGCTGACCAGCTTGTAGCAGTGCCCCTCGCGGATGGCGTGCAGGTCGTAGGGGTTGCGGGCGGGCCGGCTGGGCACCGCCACGTTCACGGGCAGCCGCACCTTCTCGATGATGCTGCGGATGGTGTGCTCGCCCTCCTGCAGCCGCAGCTCCAGCGGGCTGCGCGTGCTGAAGCGGCCCTTGCACTGGAAGGGCAGGCTCAGGCTCTCGTTGGTGCGGTGGTTCATGCAGATCAGGCACGGCATCTTGCCCTTCACCTGCCGCGCCCCCGCCGCCGGCGCCGCCTTGCCCAGCTTGCGCAGGAGGGTGTTGAAGCGCGACTTCTCCTTCACGGTCTTGGCGCAGAGGATCTCGGCCTGCCCCATCAGCGTCAGCTCGTCCCCCGCGTTCAGCGTGAAGTTGTAAACCTCGCTGTCCTCGCTGAACTCCCCCGACACCACCTGGCCCGGCACAGCCCAGTGTGGGACCAGGGCCCTGCCAGGGCATCCCACACCGACCCTGCTGTCCCACCGCTATCCTGTAATGCCCCCCTGCCATCCCCTGGCGTCCCACCGCCATCCCTCATGCTCCACCACCATCTCCTGGCATCCCACCGCCATCCCAGGTGTCCCACCACAATCCCTGGTGTCCTGCAACCCACCCCTGACATCCCACCGTGTGCCCCCGCTCCCTGCCGTCCTATCATTGTTCTCTCCTGACGCCCCCCATCTACCCCCTGATGTCCCACCACCCTCCCCTGCTGCCTCACCCCTTTCCCGACACTCCCCTCCCGTCCCACCTCTGTCCCCCGTGTCCCCTGACGTGCCACCACCGCTCCCTGCCGTGCCCGCCCCGTCCCCCGCTGTCCCCGCGGACCTTGACGCTGAAGGTGATGGCCTCCATGACGAAGATGCGGTCCGGGAAGGTGCTGGCCACCTCCTCCACGCTGTTGAAGTACTGCACGGGCTCCCGGATGTCCCGGTCCTGGTCCAGCAGCTTGAACTTCCCTGCGGGGTCCCCCAATCCCACGCAGGTGAGACGAGCCCGGCTCC